ACGAATATCGACGGCAGGCTGCCAGGCAGCGCTATTGGCGGGTTAAACTCGTCGTTTTAACGCGGCATGAATCGGAGTGCGCTCAATTATCGTGCGCGAATCCGGAAGCGGATAAACGCGCGACGCGACGATAACTCGCGGCGGGGATTTGACGATCGGACGATCCGGATAAGCGAAGCGCGCGTTACACGTAAGCGCGGACGTAGGCACGATAGCGAGCCAATTAGCTCGGCGTATGACGCGCTAATCACGACTGGTACGACATAATGACACGCGCCGATATCGCATTTGTAATAGACGATTAGTTCTTTGTTCGAGTCTACTTATTAATCGGAAGATTCCGAATGACGCATGTTAGTAAAAAAAAAAAACAACAACATGCCTCTATACTATGACAAATCTGCATCACATTATTTTTTATGATTCTGAAGAAAAAAGTCATATGTACAGCTTTATACAGAACATCTCAAATATATTGTCAATTCTTTTAATTATGCAGGATTGTACGACAAATTTTAAGTTAATTTGTCCCTACTCTCTAAATTTTCTGGAGTGAATCTCACTCCAAAAGATTGAAAATACTGCCACTCTGCCACTTGAGTGGCAGAATTTTCACTCTTTTGGAGTGAGATTCACTCCAGAAAATTTAGAGAATAGGGACAAATTAACTTAAAATTTGTCGTACAATCCTGCATAATTAAAAGAATCGACAATATATTTGAGATGTTCTGTATAAAGCTGTATATATGACTTTTTTTCTTCAGAATTTTCAGAATAAAAAATAATGTGATGCAGATTTGTCATAGTATAGAGGCATGTTGTTTTTTTTTTATTTTTACTAACAGCATGCGTCATTCGGAATCTTCCGATTAATAAGTAGGCTCGAACAAAGAGCTAATCGTCTATTACAAATGCGATATCGGCGCGTGTCCATTATGCCGTACCAGCCGTGATTAGCGCGTCATACGCCGAGCTAATTGGCTCGCTCCAAAAGAGTGAAACATCACTCCAAAAAATTTAGAGAGTAGCAGAAACTATCGAAAATCATTAACTGTAACGAGGTCTTCAAAATATTAAATATGCAGATAATTAAGTCCCGATTAAATTACTATTGCTGTACAGAATAAAAATTAACTTAAAAATCAAATTTATAATTTATTTACATTACCAACTTTTAAAATCTTTTTAGAATACAATTATACATTTCTCTATTTTTCAAAATGTTATAAAAATCGACTTAAATTAGTTATTGTATTTCATCAATGCCTCATAAAAATTAATTTGGTTTGGAAACAAGATTTGTGTCGCTTCCAAAATAACCCTTTCAAAATAAGCAACTATTGATTTTAGATAATAATGATTAAAATATTTCTCTGAGCTAGTTTAATCAATCGATTTTTAGAAAATAAAAAACTATTCTTCAATATAAAATCAAACCTTTTCGGTCGTATATGCAAATTATATTCTGTTCAATTAATGTCGCAGATTTGTATAATTATATATAATACAATTTGCCTATTTTAACAGCTCCATTCGAAAGGGGTAAGATTTCATTTGAAAATATTACTAACATATGAATTTCTGACTAAATATATGCCATTGGTCTTGCATAAGGTGCAATCGTGTAATCATTGTATCAGGCCGCATCATTACCCGTAGCGCGGATGCAACATTCTAATTGAACATGAGAAAGGCACGATGAATCGTTAATACTGTCAATAGTATACGCGTGCCGTACTCGGACTGAAGTTAAGGATCACGTTGCGCGCAGGTCGTCGGGATCAGATGTACGTCGAGATTCGTTCGCATCATTTGATTAGTAGCTAACGTATGCCTGGGCGAGGCATCTGGGCTGGAGGATAGATCGATGCGGATAATGTGGATTACGATCCTTACACCGTACCTTGTTACCGCCGCTAAAATCCCGCGGGGTCGCGAACCCAATTCGGAGCGCCTCGCAAAGTCCCTAAAGACCATCTCGCGCGCGCGCGCGCGCGCGGAAAATACTCCGAATTTGCATGTAGCGAAGCGCGTCGCCCGGAAAATCCGGTAACGAAAGCCATTCAAACTTTTCGCATCACGCGGGAAGCGCGTCCCCCCGCGTCGAGGGCGACCGTGAAAAGGGGTAATCTTGAGGGTAGGATAGGCAAACTCGGGTAATTCGTATCAAAACCCGAAAAAGAACGAATCTGCCTCTCTCTCTCTCTCTCTCTCTCTCTCTCTTGCTTCCGGCACTACGTTCCGCCGGTTTCTCCTCCTCCTCGTCTCTCTAACTCAATGCGAATTATCCGGGCGTTGCATCCGAACTCCGGCAAGAAGTGCGCAATGTTAGCACGAACTTGCCGCGAGATAAATGTCACGAAAACGCCTCGCCAGCCAGAATCGGCGTTTCCGGAATTTCCACGGCACCGCGCGCGGCACGCCCGCGAGGTCGACGGCACGCGAGATGCGGCGTCGAAGTCTCTCGCGCACGGGAACAATTTTCGTTAACGATCGGCGATGTGGCGAAGTTCGATAAACGAATGTCCTGCCTCGAGTTCGATGATAATGTCCGAGACAAGTTCCGTAAGGCGGGAAATAAATATCTTTGCCAGATAGTAACAAGTGAGCATCAAAATTCAATTCTTGAATATCGAGTTATATTGAGCAAAATGAAACGACTGACATCAGCTCGTTTACGATGCAGCGCAACGCTGGTATGAATGTTACATCACAATATCGAGTCGGCATGACGCAACTATTCTAAATAGGCTGACATTGCTTGCAAGATTTCCGCCTGTGTATCATTTCTAATCCATATTCAAAGGCCTTTGCTAAGTGACGAGCAAAAACGAGGCAAAAATTAATGACCGAGTTTCTAACAATCGAATTAACCGTGTTATATAAACGATCGTTTTTAATTGGCACAAATTCCCAGGGTTGTTCCACGAGAATAATGCATTGATTTAATTCTATTTTATAGTATCACTAAAACGTAAGAGACACGTATGACTTAAACGAAATGAGGAAACAGGAAAACAAGCTGCGGGCTGAATCCGCGTTTTGCCTAGCTAAAAACAGTGCCTTAGAGTCTCTCCCATGCTATGTGTTAGCGCGGACGTTCCCTGTCCAACTTTTTTCAACCTATTCGCCTTACCCTGCTCTTTCTCTCTCTATGTCTCTCTCTAAAAAGTACTCTACAAACGCGGAATTTTTACTAGGATCCCCGCGGTGTAGATCCTGACGAGGGTTCGTACGACGTCGCATTAAAGGCGAGCGGCGTTTAAAGGCGACCACGTCAGCGCGAAAAAGATGCATCCAGACGCGGCCAGAAGAGCAGTGGAACATAATATGTCGCCAACAAACCGTTAGTTCCATCACGAGAAAGCATAAAACCACCACGCCTCCAGATGCATCGACATCTAATTACAGTGAATGCGCCGCGTCACGTATACGTGGCGTACGATCTATTATTATTGCACGCGAATGTATTTTCCTTCCGCTACTTCAGTCTAATTTTACAGTATCAGTATCGCGTTTTCGTTCATCTATACATCAAAGTAATTTATAAACCGTCAATGGAGAATAATTCATACACGTTTCTATTTCAATTATTTTGATGTCTTCAATTTGTTATCATTTGCTCTGATCGTAATTTGTTCGCAGGAAGCGTTGCGACAAATGTACAATGTAGAAATAAATTGCAATTCCGTCCGTCGTTCAAAGTTTCCCTCGCGCCTAAAAATATCCCGCAAAATGAGATCGAGTACGAAATATTATACGCGCGAAATATATGTATACCGCGGAAATTCATTTCCATTCGCGTTCACGTCGTCATTTTGCCGGGAATATCTGAGGAGGTGAGAGATATATATAGAGAGAAAGAGCGCGTGTCTTTCCCGTGCACGACCGAATATTTAATTACGCAAGTCACGGCTAATTAAATTCATCGTGATGAAGACGGACTATTCGCGGCGGCGGCGGCGGCTGCGACGACGGTCGCGGCTTAATACCACGAACTAGTTGTGGAATTACGGTCCCATTATTGCGGCGCATTCGTCTTCCTCCCGTTCCGATGACGTGGAGGTCGACGTTATCCAAGAATCTGCAGCCAGCGGCTTAATGATGCGGACTCGCGACTATACAGCGCCCGCCGTTGCCCCTCCGCCGCCCCGCCGCGTGCGCGTTGGGTTCATCGGAATTATGACGCGTCAACAAACGCGAGTCGGCGACGTCCGTTCGCTCGGCAATGGATTTTCAAACTCTCTTATTGAACGTACTTCCAGATTGGGATCTCGACCGCGAACTCGATTCTTGGAAGTAATAATAAATAAACGCGGCATAAATTGCGCACCAACAAATAAAAACTCCTAGTTATCGCTTCTGTGCTGCAAGATAAAAAAAAAAGAGGTATGATTTATCTGTAAGCAGTACGTACAGGTGACACACGTGTCTCCGTGGAGCAAGAGAGACAGACAGACAGAGAGAGAAAGAGAGAAAAAGATTGCCTCTTCACAGAAACAGATAGCGCAATCGCTTGTTTGATATTTTAATTGATATTAAATACCGATGTTTATTCGTTTGATACGAAACAAGCGTTTAAATGAGATAAGAGAATTAGAAATTTAGATGGTCTTGCGCGCAGGTGTGGATGGTGTGCGCACAGTGAAAAAACGCCGATCGCGTCATATTTATTGGCAATTAAACGGATTAATCGACAGTTATTTATTTCCTGTAGCCGACATCTGGCGTCGTCGGTCTGATAATAATCGTATCTGCAATCACGCGCGCAACTCGCTACGTCAGTCGTCACGTGTTTTGAAAAGTGCGGCGGTTTGTTTACGATCAAACGTCGCGGTCATTATTTATGCGCGCGCCTTATCGTCCCGCACGACGGAACGACGCGGCGTTTAAACGTCCGGCAGTAAACAAAACTGGGAATGCATCGTCCTCCGGAGAACTGTTACCGGCTACTATACTATTTTCGGAGTGTTTGTTGACAAACGGTCGTGAGGACTCACCGTTAGGAAAATTTTGTAGAATTCGGAAGACTCGCTCCGCATACCGAGAAGAGGTCCCGCGGAAACCCGGGTCTCTTCTTTCTTCTTCCCTCGAGGGTCAAAAATTTACAGTCTGCCTGGAGCCTTTCTTTCTGTCCGCTCTCGCCCTTCTCTCACCGCACTGTCATTTACCGCGCCGTCTATCCCTCTCGCCCCTCTCGTCGTCGTCGTTTATCACCTCGCGACGCAACCGAGGGGCCTCCGGTGATGAAGACGCGCGGAACTCTCAGCGCCCGCTCAGCATTCGCTCTCCTGTTTCACTCTCCGTTTCACCGCGCGCGGTGGTCACACACCAGAGATCGATCGCGGGAAATCGCAGATCCTCCCCTCCCTCCCTCTCTCACTCTCTCTCTCTCTCTGCCCATGTGAGATTAGCGCGATGTAATGAAATCGCCGGGACGGAAGCCACGTTGGTGGACGCGAGTCGCGGCTGCGAGCGTGCTCCCTTGGGGCGGTCTTCGGGCTTGGAGGTTAGGTTGAAGCATCTGGCGCGTCCTTTCTCTCGGGGCTTCTCGTTCCCTGGTCAAACGTAAGGTCGGACGGCACTGGCGCGCGTTCCCGACGACGATGGGGACGACGTGAGACGGCGTGCCACGAGACGCCGATGCCACGCACGACGGCGAGGAAATGCCGACGTCACACGGCGGAGTAAGTCCGCGGAGCCCTCAGCACGGGAGGACCGGCGAAAAACTGCGCGAAAATCCAGCCATGCTGACTGCGCGACCGGCGTCAGACTGCCGCGAGAACGGAGCGGGGATTCAGTTGAGTGGCATCGCCCGGTTAGAGGGGTCGTCCGCCCCTCTCGCGCTCGCTCGCTCGCTCTCTCTGTCTCACCGCGCGGCCATCTCCCCGCTACTTCAGACTAGTCGGCCGCCGGCCCTTTCCCCACCGCTCCATCAACCGGTTACCCCTCTCCTGCTGTTCCCTTCGGCCGTGCTCGCTTCCACTCGGCTGTCCGCTCGGCTTCCACCACCACTCCCACCACCCGAGACTTCTTCCGTGACTCCAACCCCCCCCCCCTTCACTACCCCTAGCATCTCTCTCCGCGGTCGCGGTAGTGAAAGAGTACCGACGCGAGACAGAGAGATCCGGTTGTCGTGACGGTTGCGCAAGCGGGACGAACGAAAGAGCGGAGGTGCCCGATGGAGAGACGAGGACGAGAGCAGGTGACGGAGCTTGGCGAGACGGAGACTGCGGCCCGTGTATTACGATGGAGAGAATCAGAGAACTACGATGCGCGCGGTTGACCAGACGAAGATGGCGCAGGTGAGCGAAGCGTAAGTGAGAGAAAGAGAGAGAAAGAGAGTGAGTCGGGTGCTCCGACCGCTCGAGAGCGAGAGAAACGTCGTCGTGAAAAGGATAACGAATGCACCCAGCGCGGCGCGACAAAGATGTACATGTGCGAGAGTACTACGTGTGAGACGCGCTGGTCGAACGGAGAAGAAGTCTAGCTCCTTTCGTTGTCACGATGAAGACTTGCCACGCGATGGCTGTCGGTCGGAGAGAGAGAGAGAGAGAGAGACCGCGCGAGCGTGTAAGCGGAATGCGCACGCATGCGCCGCACGCGAAACTCGGCACGCGGTCGCGCCCAAACGCATCGCCTCGCGATCCTCATACTTATTGATGTACATACTACGCTCTTCTCCACACTCGCGGCGAGAGCCGATTGCGGCTGTCGCAAATGCCGAGGGGGAGTCGTAGGCGCGCTCGGACGGGACCACGGGACGACGGGATCGCCTCCTCGTGCACTCGCGCATTATGTCACGTAGAACCGCGTAGGTGAGTTTATCGCGTAACGCGACTCGAGCTCGTTGCTCCGGGCCCGAGCTTATATGCGTGCGTAAGCGCGTGGGTGTGTGTGTGCGCGCGCGCGCGCGCATTTGTACACGCACGTGACATGCTACTTATCCGCGCGGCTTTTCACAACGGTTTAATTAGCGTAAAGCGGAATTAGTTCTGTCAACCACGGCACATTTTTATTGTTAGCACAGCGACACTCAAAACGCATACCTATAGATTTCTGTCAGATCTTTTCAAGTTGTCTGTAAAATTATAAATTTATAGAATTATAAATTGAAAAGAAATTCTTTCTTCGCAGTGTTTTATGCTTATTCGCATTGGATCATTAGAAATTTAAAATCAATAGTGATCTGACTAGTTCAGCTTCAGCTAACGATTGCAAGTTCAATTGATTCAGCGGTATAAATATATATATATATTTATTTATACCGCTGAATCAATTGATCAATTGAGGATGTGCGATCTTTAATTTTTATTACTCTTTATTGAAATAAATGTAATATATATATATATATATATATATATATATATATATCAATAGTGATCTGACTAGTTCATCTTCAGCTAACGATTGCAAGTTCAATTGATTCAGCGGTATAAATATATATATATATATATATATAGCATGTATTTCAATAAAGAGAAATAAAAATTAAAGATTTATAAAGCTAAATTTTAGTACAGTAGGTATATCTATCGAATCCCGATAATACTTCCTTTTCATAGTGTAAAGTATTATAGGAAGAACAGTTTGCACGATTTTCTCTCGATATTTTGACGAACTGTCTTGTTAAATCATTTAAAATTTATCGAATAATTTATATATTTTTGTGTTCTCAAAATTTAACTTAAAAACACGGAAATATACATAAATAATTCGATGAATTTTAATTTTATATATATAAATTTTGATACTAAATATTTGATAATTATCTTTAATATAAATTCGTGGAAGCGCAAAGCGTTGATTTAACTTTCTCAATGTTTTCGAAATCTGATGAAAATTTCCTTATCAGCGATATAATCATCTCGCAAATTCAATAGCATATTAGTTCTGACACGATATATCTACCTTACATTTTAAACGAGTTTTAATCATGCATTATTCCAGCTGACCGAACCGTTTCGTATAGGAAGTGTGAGATAACTCTACGCCCATTATTCTCACGCGTCGATATACACCCTCTGTAGCTCGAGAGATATAATCGCATTCGCTCTTTATTTTTGTGTACATATATATATATATATATATATATATATATAAATGTATGTATATATGGTTCATCAGAAGATAAAGTTTGCCAGAGCGAAATTTTTCTAAAAAATCAGTCTACGCGCATGTATTTCTCGAAACGTTGTATGAGTTCTATATACACGTATCAATGGACGTTCTCAGCGGAGAAAATGGATGAACAGCAGTCGAATATGATTGGCCTAGATTCCAAAATCCAGCCAATTCGAGCGCCTATTCAATTGATTTTCAGCCGTGTGGCGCTCCTGTGGAATGCCATCCGATTTGAATTTTTCTTTTAATGCGCGGGGATGACACAGAAATTCGCGAATATTCCCTGAGTATTTTTAAGGCGAATCACCGATATATACAATTTCGAGCATTGGAAAAATGCCGATTTGTGTTACTAGCCGACGTAATTTCGTATGTCACGCGCTTATCCGTTCGACTTTGCGTTATCTCGTGCAACACGAGGCAATTTAAAGTTTACGAAGACGATTGTCGCATCTTTCGCGTCGATATTATGCCGATATTTCGCCTTGCGAAAGCGTGCTTTCCACCGTGCCCCTCGGAGTACGGTGCTTCTTTTGGTATTCAAGCCGATAGTTGCAATATCGTCTTTCTCTTTCTCTCTCTCTCTCTCTCTCTCGCCCTCGTATTTTTCCGAATTCTTCAACGGTGCAATTCCGTGTATTACGTGGCTACGTGCGGAGCTACGTTACGAAATGAGCTTACAAAAATGCTGAGCCGCGTGGTTAACTAATGAATTCTGACGTTGGTTATACTAGCCTCGGCTCAGGCTCGGCTGCATTTCGAGGTCTTATCGTCGGTCGGAGATCAGCTCGCCTGGCAGATGTTCGCTAAAACCTCGACCTCTCGTGCATCCGATACGTCTCCCGCGCGACTCTCTCATTCTCTTAGATCGCAGAAACGCGCCGGCATAAGATGCTAAGTGCGGAGCGTTTTACACCGACGCCGGCGACGCGAGAACTCCGTCGTCGCCCCTTCTCCCCGCCTCCCCGCGTTCTTTCTCGCGCGAACACGAGTTGCCAGATCTCAAATTGTGCTCCCGGGATTCGGATTATGTTCTTGAATTTCGGAGTATCACGTTCGAGGATGCCTGGCGCGAATCGTCGGTAAGAGATCATAGTAATACTTGAATTCATACGAATGGAAAATGCTGGGAGAAAAAGAAAGAGAGGATTCGTACAGTCCTGGATATTACAGTTCATCCTTCCTACGCGATTCTTCAACGTGTAAATAGCTAAAGTATATCTATGTATTTTTAGTATCTTTATATTAAATATAAAAAGAAAACATTTGTCTCACACTTACGAAAAAAGGTACAAACTCATATTTTTGCAGCTAAAATATGCTTTTGGCTAAATATGCCGGCTAAAATATGCTGTCTTATGTCGACAACTATGTGTAATCTACGTGTAGTTACATAATTACTAAAGAGTTTAATTACAATTATAGGATACTGAATTTTAACTTTTTCTCTAACAAACCGCCGCAATACGCCAATCTACAGTCAATTAATTTCAAAATCATCTTTCCCTGTTTTAGAATATATATATATATATATATATATATATATATATATGTATATATACCTATATATATCCTTGATTTTCTCTTCAGCCTCCAAGCTCTTTTATTATGCGAGCTAACGCTCGGTGTGAGATGGAATCCCATGCCGGCAGTTTCGTGAAAGTTAACAAGTTTTCAGCCGATTAGACTTTTAATCGTTATTACCTACTTTGCTGAGTGCTACGTTTATCGTCACGGCCAATTAAAATCACGATGCAGACATCGTTTTTCCCAATTGCTCTCTTCGTTGCCGTTTCTTCGAATCCCGCTTGCTGAAAGAAAAGGCAAGGTTTCAATCGTTTTATGTAAGTTAGTCCATTACCTGATGGCGCACGCCAAAACTCCCCTACATAGACAGCATTCGGTGAGAATATTATTTTCCTATCCTTCATAAGCTCGTATTGTTTCGAAACTTGAGTGAGAATATTTAACAATATTGCTTTTGGTTTGTAGTCAATAAAGTCGAACATACTTCTAAGAAGTAACATACTTGTAAAAAGTAATAGAAGTATGGTTAATTTTTATTACCGAAAGTAATATATTATATATTAAAGTAATATAAAGTAACTAATTGTAAGATTAAAAGAACTAAGACGTACTTAACTTTTTAAAGTATTTTTTACCAATTACTATAGAAACTTTTTAACAATCTTGAATGAGTAAAGTAGTAGAGAAAGATTATAAAAGATATTTGTATACGGAAAGAACGATCTTGCTGAAGGATCTAAAAAATTAACTATAGATATATAAATCTGAAAATAATTTGAACCTGAAAAATAATTATGTACAACGCTCAAACTAGTTGCTAGAATGTCAAAACTTATTGTAGCATTGCTTATCATGTTTGAACGTTCCAATAATCAATTATTTTGAAAAAAATTATTGTCCAAAAAAATTATTTTCATATCTGTATCTATTTTGCTAAATTTTTAGTATTTTTGCAAAACCGTTCTTTCTCCGTACTTATCGCATTTTTACAGTACGTTTAAATTGTTAATGTTACGATGCCACTGAATACTGTTTACGTTTAATAGTTACTCGAGGAAAATTGTTTGCTGAATGCACGCAAGTATGTATTACATTTTTTTCCCCCTGGAGTTTGCGAAAGGAAATGAAATTCCTCTTTATTCGCTCTTCAGATACACAATCATGTTTCTCCGGGCGCGACAGTGGAAGAGAAAACTTACCGCGTATATTCCTTTCTGATTTATGCATAAAAATTCAAGTAACGAAGCAAAGAATTTATTAGGAATTATATATAAATTATATACAAAGTTTTTGAATTCGCTTCGTAACATACTTTAGTAATTTATTATATTTATTATTTATTATATCCAAAAAGTTTTTTTTTTTTTTTACATTGAAAAAGCAGAGCTCGTTCGTTGATCAAACTGAATTAGACGTAATAATAGAATAAATTTGGAATAAACATTTCAAGTTATTACAACGGACGACAATGAAAAGATCCCTAGAGTCTTTTGATGTTAAAAATTCGTGTTGATATCGTACCGCGAGCGAGTTTACGCGGGAAAGTTATCGCCGCCGGTGTATAAGAGTCCGACAAAGAACTTCCCAAGTTCATTCGTCATTTCATACGTTCTTTTTTTCTGGTTATATGCGCGCGACGTGACACTGTACTTGGCAATCGGTAAAAAGTGGAAATGACACGTAGAGGCCAGGATGAAATTCTACCTCCGATAGACTCCGACGTTACGCGCCAAGACCGGTCCGCGATCGAGTCGTGTACATAGTCCATACCGGTGTCTGACGGCTTTGTCAGTAGACAACTCCCTTGCCCTTCTGTTTGTCTTGTCTCTTTTGAGCTTGGCATTCCATGGCGCCTGGCACTCTCTGAGCAGCTATCGGAAAGCGAAAGGCGCGCGCAAGGCACGGTACGTACCGCAGTGCCGTGCTTCATCGCAGATGAGTTCTCATCTTTTCCGTTTGCCGAGCTTCTCCTCGCGCAAGCGATTCAATTTTCCCTACTTCAAGTCGCGGATGTTCTCCAATAAAATTGTAACTCTTGTAAAAAAAAATGTATAATTTTAATAGAAAAGAATATCAGAGATATCATGTCACATGATTAGATAATGTTAACATTATGCTTTTATCGTATTGTCCGTTTTTTTTTTAAAGAGTGATTTTTATATTTGAATGTTTTCTGATTATTAAGTGTACATATTGTTAACGTCTCTGTTAAGGTGATCCCTTCCTATCTCAACTCGTTAATCAATACGTTTCACACCTGTTGTGGATATCGCAAATATGTGATCAAACAGGTACAGTAAGCTTTGACGCATCGAAGGACACTATAGGTGCTAATTAAATGCGCCCTTTAACGTGATGCAAGGTCCGTGAAGCGTCTCATACTGGATGAACACTTCGTAATATCGATCGATAGTTACGCGCTAGAATAAATGGGGGAGGGATACAAATGCGATGCTCCGCTGGAATATCAAATGTACTGCAGATGCGTCACGTTTCATACACTATTGCGTAATACAGCTCTTCTGCTTATATTAGTTGAATATTGGTGCAGAGTCTGAGTACATTCCTTGGCATCTAAAACAAATGTTATACACTTGTGCAATCGTTAGTGCTATAAAAGGCAACGTTAATATAAGTAATTCAATTAAGCTGTTACTAGTCTCTGGATGCTAATTATATCTCACGCTATACATCATAATACAAGAAGACTAAGATCAGTGTCACTGATCAACTTAATGCTTCTTCACGTTAAGGTAGTTCAAAGACCAAGTTGTTTGCTTGGAACGCCGAATCCTACATTCCACTAAATTTATCGGTGATTCGTTCGCCGAGAAACGGCTCGTTTTCATCGTCAGCGCCATTAATAATCGTTTGCCGGATCTTTCGTTGCGGGAGGAAGAGTGGTACGCACCGGTCTAACATACGACGTTAGTTCTTCAATTTACGACTAGCGGGTTATGCTATCCCGCACCGACTGAAACGTATTGTAGTCATTAAGCGCCGATCGATTAAGCACCGTCGCATGCGGATGTTTGTATATCCTGCACGTAGATGCATGCTCGTGTCTGATTTATCAACGGACTCGCGGCGCCCTCGTCTGAAAATTAACTGCCGGGTTGCAGCAGGATGAAAGTGGGGTACGGTAATGTATAGATATATACATATGCATATACATATACATATATATATATATATATATATATATATACCTATGTATATAAATACATACATATATGTATTTGTATACAACTACATTGTATTCAATGCAAAATAGAACAGTTTTTACACGATAATGTTACATTGATTTATTGTTAAATAAAATACGTTATAAAAAAACTAATAATGTAAATTTTTTGACTAAAAATTTGGTTATTTAATTTCACAAATTAATTTATATTATATATTTCATGTAATTACAGCATAATTATGCAGAGAACAAG